ATTTTGTCCCTTTGTTATTTTTTTTTGTTTGTAAACATGGCTCCACCATTTCTTTGATAAATCACCCTATTCAATGTTGAATTTAATTTGATTCTAAATTTTTCATCTTTTGCTAGATTAATGGATGCGATGCCAATTAGTTTTCTGACGCCGTACCAACCAGGAAACAAACTCCAGATCAGGGTTTGTAGGATATGGGTCACGAAGAGCATCGGAAATGATCCTCAACCAATAAGTCTTGATTGTGTATTCGTTGATAAACAAGTAAGATTCTTACACCTTTTAACCTATCGTCAAACACTAATATTTTCGTGTATCAAAATGTCCACACAATTATTACAACTCACTTTTGTGATCAAACTTATCTTAAAGTTCATGAACCAAATCCTCTACACAATTATACATCATTTCTGCATAATTAATATTTGGCGAATTGTTTTGCTAGATTCAATGTTAGGCCTTGACATTCATTTAGAGGCTGCATTTAACCAGTTCATGCAGGTGGACAACAAATCAAAATTCCATTTTTTCCGTATAATAGCATGGCTTAAGATAAATTGCATTATTAACAAAAATATTCATGGTGCACCATACACAGTTCGGCTATCTTTATATTTCACTAGAGAGATTATATTTTGTTATATTTGAGGAAGATTTTTTAACTGAACAAACGAAGCTGAGTATCAACTACCAACTATTCTTTTCCTTAATTTATTTTCTTCTTTTTTCCTACCTATACAAATGAAACTAAATATATATTTACAAAGTTGCTTCAATTGCTGCGAATTTCGTTCTTAAAGTAATCTTCTCTATTATCTTCCATATGATCTTACATGTTATCTCTATAGGAACCACTATGCTTCGCTTACTTCTTACGTGGTTCCATAACCTTTTGCGTTAAATGTTCTCCTGCTCATTTAGTATACTATCTGATTTTATTTTTCTTCTTCTAAAAGGGGGATGCGGTTCATGCAACCATTAACAGTCGAGACATGCAATATTTTTTTAACCATCTAAGGGTTGGTGAAGCATACGAAATCAACAAATTTCGTGTTGTTCACAACAGGACATCAAGCAAGGTTGTCCCTCATGCTGCCATAATTGAATTGAACAGCAAAACCACAATCGTTCCTATTGACAAAACAAGCCAGGAAATCCCGATGCATTGGTTCAATTTGATTGAGCTTGAGCAGCTTTACGAAAGAATCGATAGGGATGTTGAACTTACAGGTAACAAATTTACTCTTAAGCGCCACTCCAAAATATCAGAATCATTTAAATTTTTTTGTTGGCTTTGGTGCACACTCATTCTCGCTAATGAACATCGTCTATAGATATATTTGGTTGCTTGACGGCTGTGCAGCCGATTGAAGAGGTAACCATCCAACGCACAAGAATTGCAAAGAAAAGAAATCTTAACCTCCAAAATATCAGGTAATTTCTATATGCGTTAAACTTTGATTACAATTTTCACATATGACACCGTAGGCGTAACGTATAACTGACTGACACCTTCTTAATTATTTACAGGGGTGAAACAGTGAGAATCACCTTATGGGGAGAGACTGCGACAAATTTTGAGGACAGTGGAATACAATCGTTATTGCCGCCCGTGTTTGTTGCTTTGACAGGCCTCAAAGCTAAACAATACCAAGGTCATACCTCGACATGCTTTATTAAACTGCTTAAAGTTTAAATTTGTTCATTATTCTCTTTTTATTTATAGGAAAGCATGTTCTTGGAAGCACAGGATCAACCGTTTATATTTTCAATCCGGACATTCCACAACTCTCTGAATACAAGCGCAGGTAAATAAACAACCCTTCTTTAAGAACTTTTACATTTATATTTCTTAGTTTAATCTTTCTCACCCAAAACATGCAAAAAATAGGTTTGAGCATCTAAAATCACCTATTCGGATCTTGCCCAGCTCAACTGACATGTATACGGGGCATGCTATTGGTGCTGATTCTGAACCAAAAACGATAGACGAGTTGCTTTTACTTGATCCTACGTTGCACAAGGTTAGTCTCTCATTACCAACCTGTTAAAAAAAATTCAAACTGTTACAAAAAAAAAGTCACCAATAATTATAATGCCCCGGAATGAAATCAATTATTTAATATCAAGATCAATGAAGATATGATATCCCTAAGATATCTCAAAAGGAAAGTCAAATATAAGATGTAAAATTCATTAAGCTATTAGATGCCTTTTCTTTATGGTTATTATGCTTAATATTTATCTAAGCATAGGCTTTAGAATAATAACTAACATGAATGGGAAGTACAATCAAACTGAACAAGTAGTCGACCAATATGCTGTTGCCAACCTGGAATACCCAGGATATTAAAAGTATGATAGAGCGCCTATTCGTTTTTACTTCATGTTTCCAAGGCGATGCTTAAATGATTAATGAAGATATGATACCCCTAAGACATCTCAAAAGAAAAGTCAAATGCAACATATAAAGTTCATTAAGCTATTAGATACCTTTTCTTTATGGTTATCACACTTAATATTTATGTAAACATAGGCTTTAGAATAATAACTAACATGAATAGGAGAAACAATCAAAGTGAACAAGCAGTCCACAAATATGTTGTTGATAACTTCCAATAACCAAGATATTAAAAGTATGACAGAGTGTGTATTCGTTTATACACCATGTTTCCAAGGTGATGATTAAATGTCGATGATCATTTTAAAACCTATGTTTCAATAACAGAATGCAAGTTTCACATGCAAAGCGACTGTTGTTGACTTCGATTTGGCCAGAGGTTGGTGGTACAACTCTTGCCCATCCTGTCATAAAGTTGTAAAGAAGATGTCTGGATCATTTCAGTGCAACGAACATGGTTCGATAAACAAATTACCCGAGCCATGGTAATAATGTTTTGCATCTATTTTACGTCTAACGGTTATATTAAGTTGTTGAGTCCTTTTTGAAATTCTTATGATTATCAAATTCACACATAATAATGCTTTTATATCTACGATATTTTATGCGACAAGAAGGTAGAACATGTGACGAGCACACAGCTTTCTTCAGCCAGCATATATTTTTGCATTCACTCTCATGCATATGTTGGTCTTTGATTCATGATCTAAAATGCGTGCATACAAATAACTTTACAATGGTCTCCATCTCCATTATACTTGACTACTGTTTGACCCTTGGGAGTGTATTAGTGACATTATCGTAAATATTCCTGCTATAATGTGTTTAGGATAGTCTACACCTATAGTGTTTTTCCCACCTTTAAAGAAGAAACTTAAGAGTTTCCAAAACAACCATAATGATGATACGTGAATGCTGTTTTGATGTAATAAGTCAATAAAATTTACACCGCTTAGGAGGAATGGCTGTTTCTTAGCTATTGTCATATGACCGCTTTTAAATATTGTAGCACACTTTCTTTAGTTTAAAGTTAACTGGTATGTTGAATTCAATAAGTTCAGTGACGAAATGGATATTGTAGGACCTCTTCATTTTGGTTACCAACTTTCGCTTAGAATGTATGATTGTCTAACACAAAATATCCTCCTCTTGCACAGGTTCAAGATCAATCTGATTGTCGAAGATAACACGAACCAACACAACTTCCTCATGATAGGAAGGCAAGCCGAAAAGATGCTTGGCATTTCTTGCTACACTTTGGTGATAGAGAACGGACACGAGGATCCTTTCGTGGTGCCGCCAATTCTTAACAATTTGGTCGGCAAGTCAAAAACCTTTCAACTCTCTTTTGGAAAGCAAAACAGCGACTTTGCAAAAACAGACTTCATCGTTAATGGACTGGTTGAAGACCAACCGCTCTCCAACCCAACGATTGCCTCAGTCATACCACAAACACCCGCTACCAGTGTAGGCAAACAAATTACCAGTCAAGCAACCCCTGCCCCATTGACACCTTCCCAACAACCAGATCAACAACCCAAATCAGTTGCACCCGCCATAACTTCAAAGAGAGTATTGTTCCCTGATCAAACGAACAAACCTGACAGGTAAAGTTTTCCTGACGATAAATGTTCTCATGTGTCAATCTTAATAACTATACTTGCTTCTCTTCAGTGTAAATTTAGCCAATCATGAAAAACTGTCTACAAAACTTTTTGCACCACTCTTTCGCACTCTTCTCCATAGCTATCATGTTTCTCTTTAACCTTATAAAATTTACCTTCGTTAACAGCAAAAAACCTTGCCCCCAGCAAACAGACACAACCAATTCTACAAGAATTGCTAGAGAATTCCACAATCTGGTTGTCCCCAAAATTGAACCTGTCGACAAAGTGCCGATAGCCGCACTCAAGACAAAAACTCAGGCCAAAAAAACCAAAGATAGGTAAATTATAATTTGTTTTTCACACCCACATCTACACAATATCAATGATGGCAGTGTCTGTTAAATGATTATTTATGTTTTTTTGCTATAGTGTGGAAGATGTCCGATCTCAGAAAAAGTGAACACCCACAATCTTCGTCATCGAGTGCTACAGGATGTGCTACATGTTTTTTGCGTTGAAAATTTGTGCTTAAAAACTTAGGTGCTGGAACAAGAACGAAACACTTTTTGATGTTTTTTGTTAGTGCTAAAACAAGTGGCTAGCTTGCAAGACATATATTTAACCATCTTAACTGCAGAAGCAAACGAACTGTCAACTACATATTGCTTTTGTTTCTTCAGTTTCTTATGGGAACAATCCTTTTGCATTTTTTTTTCTTTTAACATTTGTGCTTCGGAAATGTTTTTTCTTAATGCTAAAACAATTGGCTAGCTTGCAACACATATATTTAACCATCTTAACTGCAGGAGCAAACAAAGTGTTAACTGCATGTTGTTGTTTCTATTTCTTCAGTTTCTTATGGGAACAACCTTTTTGCATATTTTTTGCTTTGAACATTTGTGCTTCGGAAGTTAGCTACTTAAACAAGTACTTGAACATTCAGTTTCATCCTACTAATTGTGTAACAGGAGGGATTAAAAAAATGGCAAAAATTGTACATACAGAAGAACACAAACTTTATTCTTTTCTAGAGTCCCTGTTGGATCAGTGGTTCCCATCAACATATAACTCTGAGCACTAGAAATTTTCCCTTTTTTAAAACTAATATTTTCCTCTTTCTTCAAGAATGACAAACGATGTTGCAAATATTATTCTTCTACACGAATATGAGAAGACATCAACTTAAACGTGTTGTAATCATCATCCATCCCGCCGTAGCTTAAGGCAATTGGAAATACAGAACATGAAGGAACGAAACCCATCAAGGAACTAGAAATAGTGAAAAGAAAAAAAAATTTAATAGGATGTTATATAATCCGTAGACATGTATAAAAACAACTATGGCAGCCATTTAAATAGATAGAAATATAACCTTACTTTTGGCTGCTGCACGCCTGTTGCAAAAAATACCACTGAGTATTTTCCAGATCTTTCATCAATAACTCCATAAAATAATCTTTTGGCACCACTCCATGGTATAGAAAGACAATTAAATTCCTATTGGACATAAAATGCAGTAAGACTCAAAATTGTTGTTAAAATAACACTGTTAAGAATATGAGCTTTACTTACTGACTTTGTGTCTTATTCATGCAGTTACGCTTGAAATATGTCTTCTTCATGCAGCTGCACTTGAAACAGTTGGTTCCCGCAACAACGTGCAGGCTTATTTCCTAGTCTATTCTAAAGTAGGGGGGAGGGCAGGCACTATTCATGTTTGTTTTGATTTAAGTAGGGGGAGGGCAGGCACTATTCACGTTTGTTTTGATTTTGCTTTATTTACAACAATGCCAGCCGAATGTGGCTGGGTTGGGGGTAATTCTCAAAAATTCAGAGGGTGATTTTGTCTTTTGAGGTCAATTCCTCCCCCCTCGATTTTGCTTTATTTACAACAAAACCGTGGGATTTGGGGCTGGGTTGAAACGTAGTTATTAAAAGTTAGGAGGGTAATTTTGTCCTGTGCATTTGAGACGGATTGGGGTGGGTTTGGGTTTGCTGTCATTCAGTGCAGGTTTCGGGGATGGCAGGCCATGCTTCCTCTGAGAGATGGATAGAGACAGACGGAGCGAGAGAGAGAGGGAGAGGAAGGAGTGGGGATCTCATCACCATTACTGCAGATCCTCGATTTCATGAGAGTGGGAGAGGGGGGACAGTCAGAGAAAAGCATGGGGGGCCTTCGGGACTCGCAGACCCCGCGAGAACGACACAGACGGTCTCGCCTCCGTCGTCTTACTCCTCATTTCTCTGTCTCTGGAATCGATCGATCTATTCGAAGAGGATCGACAGTTCTGAAATGGTATTTAGATTGGTAAGGGTTGTGCGTGTGCGGTTGATGATCGTGGAAGCCAGCGACGCCCAGATTGCAACATCGAATCCTCTTCGATCCTTATTCCCAATAGCTCTCCCTCTGATTTGTCATCAGGTAAGAAGGAACCTACTGGCCTCAGATTGGATGATAAACGTGAAGAAATCACACTGACCAAACCGTGAGCATCAAAGATTGATTCTTTTTTTTCCTTCAATATAAAAAAAAAAAAACCTTCAATTTTTTCGATTTCTTCGAATTTTTATTTTATTTTTTCTAAATTTTCTGTTCATGGTTTTTTTTTTCCTTTTCTTTTCAGGAATTCAACAATCCCAGAGGTTGAAAACCACTGAGAAGAAAAGATCTCTCTCTCGATCTACTTTAAAGTGATTGAAAATTGGGTTTGGTGATTTTTCTGCTGTTTTTGTATGTTTTAGCTATTAATTGCCTTATAGAGGTTTTTTTGTTGCTGTGATATTTGTTGAACTGAAAAGGGTTTGAAGGCTGCTGCTTTACCGTTCGATTTGCAGATTCCATGTTGCATGTGCTGCTTTATTGCAATTTTTTAAATTCATGTATGAGGTACAAGGAAGATAAACGACTAAAAACCAAGTTGGCCTGCAGGGTTATCTGTATTTGTGTTATATCGATAATTCTAGGACTTATCATATCATGTTCCTAACTTGATGCTCTGGGCATCTTCTCCTACAATTAATAGTTGCACCTTAATTTGATCGACCAAATTTGGTGAAACACCAGACAAACAGAAATCCATGCATACAGAGCCAACTGCACTGAAGCATGAATTGAAAAAAAAATAATGTACATGATTATAATTCCACTACTTAATTTGTTCCAAGTCGCCACAAATTTCAGAAATCAAACGTGCAAAATTTCTATGCATGTTTTGAAGTTGGTTGTAGGAAGTGGGCTTCCAAGTCTTAACAATAATGGAGACTATGAAATCATGGTAAGCAAATGGGGGTAGCTATATATTTCAAAAACGCATATTTTACACACACACACACACACATTCTGTCAAGAATCAGTTTTGATTGGCACAGATGAAGATGAAAAATAAGAGGGTTTTCTATTCAAATTTACTTTTTATAATTTTAGGGGTTTTGATCATACATGTGTATTTAATTTGGTTTTGTTTTCAGTTTCAGGAGACTCTGGTTTTTCGTTTTTTAGGCCTTTTCTTTGCAGCATAGAAAGCCCTCTGTGCTCAAGGTAAACAATTTCAACTTTTTACTTCTAAAGCGTTGCTCTTTTTTAGCGGTAGCTATTCCATTGTATACAATAATATGTTTTGTGTTATGCTAGGAACCCTGTTTCCCCCTTTTGTCTCTCTGTGCACTCAGAAAACAAGCCACCCTAATTGAATCTTTCTATCTTCAGATCATCAGCAATAATCTCATCAAGGTCCCAGGAGGAATCATGAGGATTCACTACCGAATTGGTATGTACTTATGCTTTTGCAAAAAGCCCTTTTCTTGCCTTTTTTCTGTTTTAGAATTGGGACCAAAATGATTATCAGTGATTTTGAAAAACACTGAGATAGAAAAAATGGCTATCAAGCAAGCAGGTTGTGAGTATTCAAACATATAATTTTCAGTCAAATGAAATAGTTGGTACCACAAGCTTTTAAGTAGGGAGGGATGTTTGATTATATATTTAAATTAAGCAAAGAATCTTGCATAAAAAAATGATCCAAGTTGAAGTAAATGAAATATATGGTGCAACAACTGTTAGTTTGGTCAGTCTTCATCACGCTAATCAAATGAGCCCGAGGGGTCGATTTCCACAGTATAGACTTCGAAGCCCTACAAGGTAAATAATTTAGTATCCTTTGAGGATTTTGTATTTGGAGAATGTTGTTTCCTTTTTTTTTGTGTGTTTTAGGTGGTGTTGCATAAGTTAGTTTTGTTCTAAGTTGTAAATGATTATGCTTTATTCGTATGCATTCTATGTTGGTACTGAGGTTTACAATTTTTTTATTCTCTCCTCAATTGTTATTTTCCTTTTACTGTATATTGTATCTTCTGTTTGGAAATGCCTCTGTTTTTTTACTTGCTGAGAATGCCTCTGTCAGGGGTGGCTCAACAGGACCGGGAAATCTGGAGAGGGGCGAGGGGGTTAGCAGAGGGGGGGATTGGGAGCATCAAGGCTAGGTTACCAGGATGGTGTTTGGGTGGGTTTGGCAGTGGGTCATATGGGGGAGGGTAGTGATGCATTCCGAACTCACGAAGCTGCACAAACATTACGAGTACATCACCATCAAAAAATTTCATATTTATTTGTTATACCCTTAACAGTAAATAATTTACATGTGAAATCTAGGTAAAAACATGATATCTTTATAGACATTGAAATAAAGACAGCCACAAATTGTCATACACTTTCACAGAGTTTTTTTAAACTTAGAAGACACCGGAAACACGATTCGCATAGCAGAATAGCTTACAGATGATATAATAGTGAGATAACAAAGTTCTCAACTGAGGGTTCAGAGAGACTCATTTCTATGTCCAATTATGAAGCATCTTTTGATTTTTATTGATATAAAGACCTTTCTTTCTCCAATTATGCCTTTGTCAACACTTTTTGGTTTAAATGTACTCATTTAGTGCTCACATTTATCTGATAGACCAGATGAAAAAAGAGGGAAACATGGATTATATATGCACGAAGGGCACCACAACAAACGTGTGAATCTTCCTGCACCACCAGTCTCTGCAACGTTTTCCAAAACCCGCTTGACCGAAGGTAAGCAAATTTGGTGTTCTGGATTATATTGGAAATGAAATAGGTTTGGTTTCATTAACTTTTTGGGTTATTAAGTTTGTATGCTCTGATTGTTTTGGAATTTGAGTTTGGATTGAAATTTAATTTTGATATACAAAAGCACTCACCTTAAACACAGAGGAATCAAATGCTTGAGTTAAACAATTAGCTGATCACAAATTGGTATTTTTTTGGTATTCTTTCTTCTGATTTTTTGGGTTTCCATCTAGGTTATTTTCTGAACATGTTGCATTTATTTTACGCTTGGTTTTGTATACCCTGCATCAGTCAAATAAATAACCTTATAGAACCAGAAGCCACTGAAATGGCCAGTGGCATATATGTTTATTTCTATGTTTTCAAATCTGGGTTTTAGATATTTTTCTTTGTTTTGGTTAAATATGAAATTTTGGTTCCCAATTTCTTAAAACTTTAGAATATTTTTTGCTATTTAGTGTGGGAATATGGGTCCAAGATTGGATTCTTCCAATTTTTGGGCAGTGAAGACAGGGTGGTGACACTAGAGAATTCCAACTTCTTTGTGGTCGAAATCATAGTTTCATTTAAGATTTTCTTTTGGGTTTATGAAATGAGTTGGAATGATGTCTCATGATTATGTGAATGTTTTCAAATCGGTGAGAGAGCTTTTGGGAAAAAGGGTCAGAAAGGATTTGGAGTTGGAATTTGCAGAGCCAAGACGACTAAATTTATTAATATTCACATAATCATGAGACATGATTAGATTATGAGGTTCACAACTAAATTAAAAATCAAATTAGAAAACAAATTCAGGACAAGAAAAATTGTGATGATCCCCAAGAACATAGGAAGTAAAAAATTTTGATGATTAGATTTTGAAATTTCTTTTTTCCCAAATCCATATCGACATGGGTTTTGGTTGTTTTAAGGAAGTGGAAGAAGTCAATGGCATTTGCTTAACTCAAAGCTTTTCTTTCAATGGTTAATCAGTAATAAGCAAGCGTATACGATATAAATTTCAGATTGAGTAAAGTTTGATGCTTTATGTGTTTAAGTAGGCGTGCGAATTTTTTTGAAGTCATATCTTAAGCGATTAGTTATTTTACACGGCATGAGTTAGTAAACATAATGACAGGAAGAAGACTATGGATGTTGCTCTTCTATTTAACACTATATTTTGTATTTTATACTCTGCATGTGATCATGTCCTGGAAAGATATCCGTTTAACACATACTTTAACAGGACAAGGATGTTGCTCTTCTATTTTCATTTAGTCAACAGGGGGTTTCTGATTATATTTTGTTGTTTATATGCTGGAATTACAGGACAAGGAGTTGGACCCTGGATCTAACGACTTTCTGGGTTAGTAACTTTTATAATATGCTGAGTTTTTATTCTAATGATTGTTTATTTTTTATCGTACTCTCTCTTGATCTAAGTTAACCCATATGCGCACACACAATCACAATAAGTTTGGGTTCTGGTTTAGATATTTATATTTTTGGATATTGGAAATTGTATTTTCTTTAGATTAATCCCAGAGCATGTAGGTATTTTTTAAATTTATTTACTAATTTTAACTTTGGCTTTTAAGTTTGAGTTCTGGTTTTTAATATTTATATTTGTGTACAATTTGATGCTATGAAAGGGTTTGATGATTTCAATGACAACTGTTTCTTTTCCAAAAGATGATTGGGAAGCAGTTGCTAAGTGACGATTCTCCTTATCCTTTTAGAAGCCTTCTTCACCTGCTATAACTTCCATGTTTTGGTTTGTTATGAAATGAATTCCCTTTTACCGTAAAAAAATAAAATAAAGGTACAATGTTATCAAATTCGATTTTTCTAATCATTCGAATGCTGGGAATGTTGGGGTTTCTTACAGTTAAATCTTTGCATGTATTTTTTTTTCTTTCTAATTTTCTGATTTTCAGTTTTATCTTTTTTTCTTTCTCAATTATACCAAGATATTGCTTAATGCATAGACACATAAATGATTCAAAAAATGGTTGTACCAAGAGAAAAAAAATGTTGGATTGTCTGCAAAGCGCCAAAGCAAAGAGAGGAATATAATGTGTAAATATAATTGGTTATTCAAATACAAACTTCTTTGCTTGATCGCTAGAATTTCAGTATAAATAAGATTTTAGTTAGATGTTATAGATGATCAAACTAAAACAAGTCAATTTGCTATACAGAAGCTCTACAAATCAGTCTTCCTTTCTTTTCTAACCCATCGTCCTTTCATTTCATCTTCATTCTGGAGCCCTCCCTATTTTCCACATCTCCTCTCGCACTACCTAAAGCCGAAACCAAACCCACCTATGCAGGAATCAAATCGCAGGTCTCCGACACCCAGAGGTAAAACGCTGAAAAAAAAATCCCCCTGTCCTATCATTCTCATTTTCAGAAGATATGCAGACGGTTCCATGTCTAATGTCTTTGTGGGTTTTCAGTGGTGCATATCTCGATTGACAAGGATGAACAGAAGCGGATATAACAATAGTGAGACCAATATGAGATCCAACGGAAAAAAAAATAGCGGCAAAGAAGCCGAGGCCTACGGATACAAAAGGAAAAGGTATGAGCCCTGGTTCTGCACTAATATTGACTTGGATTAGATGAATTTTTGAGTCTTTGCATCCGTGAATGAAGTCTGTGATCTCATTCACTGATCCCTAGATCTTGAATTTGTCTAATATGCTCATGGATGTGCTCTGTTTGTTGTCATGTACAAATTGGTGAATGTTGAACAGAATGCTTGCATGTTGGATTCTGTGATTTGGGCTTGAACAAAAGTGCCTCTATGCTGCCTGGATCTTCCACCCCCAAACTTAGAATGAAAGATTAGCAATAGCATTTTCTTCACTTACTTTCAAAATTATTTTATAAGTAATTTTTGTGTCTGTGAGTCGCTTGATTCATTGTTGTAATTTTATATATTACATGATTTTAAGACTCTTGATATCATTAATTGTTGGTTTTGGTACTTGACAACGGAAACCCCATCAGATTTTGTTTGCATTGATTTGGGTATTTTTACGGAAACATATGTTTATTTTTGGTTGTATTTAGATAAGAATTATTAATTTATTTATGACATTCAAACATTCTGAGATTTCAATCCATATTTGGTGGTTTTGTGATTCATGGTTGTATTTCGATTTTTGGATTGTAGGTATGTGAATCGTAAGTTTAGCAATCAGTACAATATAGATTAGGCATGATGATTTCTTAACTGCAGTCTTGAAGTGCAGGAAGCATTGCGGTGTACCATGTGCAGATGATTAGGGAGGGTGCAATACCAAGTGAAGAATTACACCTTCAGAAGGTAGGCTTTCCTTCATTTAGATTTTCGAGCTCTATGTGGTTCTTGGTTTTAAGAACAAAAGTTACTTTTGTTTTGAAATTGCAATTTGAGTTGGTGTCTCAGTTTGTGTGTTCTGTGAATTTGTTTTGAGAACAAAAGTTACATTGGTTTTGAAATGGCATGCTTGATTCATTCAAAAGAAGGAAAAAATGGGATTTTTTTTAGTTGGTTTATATAATCTTTTATACAAAGTCTTAAAATGACATACTTGATTCATTCAAAAGTAGGAAAAAATGGGATTTTTGCAGTGAATTTGTCCTGTTTTGGTTCAATGGTTTCGGCAATATGGAGAGTAATTGGGGATTTTGTTACCAAAACATTGATGGATAACATGTATATTTTTTTTTTTACGTAAATGTTGAATGTCAAATGCTTTATCATTTTGGTTTTTAACATGCCATTGTTTATCTATATCCAAAATGAGTCTAAATCTTTTCAAATAAATGTTACTTTCTGATTTTAGAAACTGTAATTCACTTTTTATTGATCTTTTCCTATATATTTGATTTACAGAGCTCTTGGGTTGTCAATTGTGACTGGAAATGTCTTATTCATGTGGTTGCATTCGAGTTCCGCAGCAACGCACGGGCATCTTTGCTAGTATATACTAATGGAAGAAATTTGGGCAACTTGTATACCATGCAATGTTAGAGTAAATGTAGAAATTTAGAGAATAATCCGAATGATGACTTTGAGGTACGACTTGAATCGTTTCCTTAAAGTGTTATTTAACCCCCTCCCCCCCACTCAAATGAGTTTGCTAAAGGGTTCTTGGCCAATCACTTCCAAAATACAACAAAGTATGGAATATTCGATTAGCAAAACCGAATTATATTCCATTAGAAATAACTAGAAAGTAATTCTATGAATGTGATGGAGAGAGTAGAGAGCAAGGAATGTAGAAATAAATTTCTGAAATTGTGTGTGAAACATTATGCCACAATAGGTATTTATAGGCATTAAGGCACCCATTCATCGAGTCCTTTCATTTTAGTTGAAGATATACAACTCTTCTTAACAGTGTTGATCCAAAAGACATGTCTTCTATTTAAATAAATATTCATTATTTATATCTTTTAATTTTACTCATACAATTTGAGTAAGCATCATGTCTTTTAACCAAAGTTGCAACCATTCAACAAAATATACAAAGGTTGAATGAAACCCAACCTTTTGTAAGGAGTTGCTGACTGTACGCATGATGCGCACTGCAGCACCACACACATGCCGCACAATGCAGCACCAAATCATATATATATATGTGTGTGTGTGTGTGTGTGTATATATTATATTATATTCATGAAATATACCATATATATACATATATATTTCATGAATATAATATATATATATATATATATATATATTCTTGAAATATTCAACATGCAATGGGTGTAGGTGTCTTTTGAACCTGAACCTAACTTAGTGTTAACAAATTTCATCTGAAGGAATCATAGTGAACTATGTCTTGAATTACTCCTTTTGATCATAATACTAAATGCAACACACATGGTATCGATCAAAAACTTGGTGCGGGTTAGCGCTATTTATGGCCATGCGCTTAATCTTGATTCTCATGACAGTTATTAGAGAACAACCCAATCCTCACAGTCACAGCCTCACGACTACTCTCACTTAGGTGAGTCTCCAAGAGTACATGTGACATGTACCTTGCGGGAGATTGCCCGCCTCGAAACTCATTCAGGGTTAATACCCTTCCTAACGCCACATAAAATAGCACTAAAGTCCTAGGGATGAATGGAAGAATATCTCATGGATATCTTCATTATAATATGAGTGCTATAATGAGTCACGCAATATGGATTGTTTCTACCACATTGAACTTCCTTCATGGGATCTCCAATCACAGCAGTTGGATTTCTTCCTTAGGTGACTCCCTTACGGGCTTAAGCACATCCCCCTCGACAATTTTGCATTTAGCCACCCCAGAGCATGCAGATAAATGACTAACAAGTCATTTTACTAATTATGATCGCCTTCACAAGGCATATATAAGTTTTCTTGTCATATATTTGCTCGTCAGCGCTCTTAAACCTGCACGTTATAACTAACTGCAAGCTAAAAAATATTTTAGTCATAATTTCACATATAAGTTGTTTAAGGTACATAATTAATTATTCATAGCTTCACTAGAATAAATATGGGTACGAGCAGTGAAACATACCCCCACATTATGGCACTTATTAGAAAAATTAATTTCATGAAAATCTCAAATCAATTTCAGTATATATAAGATATCCAAAGTAAGAGTAAATTACACACACCTTGAAGAAAAGTTTAATATTATTTGTTTGTTCTCAAGGAGTAACTTACATGTCTTGCAACGACAAAATATTAATCTATTCTTGTGACTTTATTCTCACTGTGATACCAAAGCTCAACAAAGCAAAACTCAATCAACACATAATTCACAATTTGTAACATCTGATTAAGAGATGGAAAAGTAAAACCCAAATATACTTTCCCAAGGGTTTTTTTTTTTTTTTTTTTTTTTTTCAAAAGTATAAACCAAGATGATCAACAAAATATTGTTTTGACCAAATCCCATAGTAACACGGCACCGACTTATATATACACTTTTGATTTTATTTTATCATCAAATGCATTGAAAGAATGAAGGCATACAAAGTCAGCAGTCCATCCTAAATTACACTTCTCTATAGTCAATATAACAATAAATAAAGCAGTAAAAGAGGAAAAGGTAAAGAATGATATGACCTATGATATTAAGAGAGGCGTGTTGTCACTATCCTAAAGTCGTAGACACTTCCCTACGTGCTAATTATAACGGCTATCTACAACTCCAAGATACAACCCTTGAATCTCACAGAGTGTCTAGTTCATAAGCAAGATTACGGTAGACGGGGTGCCAATTAGTGATCAATTGCCTATTGATGATCAAGATGAGTAGGAAGATAATAAGGATTATATATGAGTACTATAGTAGGGAGAGAAGGAAGACATTTGAATCTTTTATTAACATTTGAGGAGTTCCCCATTTATAAAACTCTATATAACCTTTGGTAAAAGACATGACTTCTCTAATTGATATGACTCTTCATATTTATTATTTAAAATAATAATAAATAAAGTTTTGAATCTTTAAGAAAATAAAATAAATAACCAACAAAATCATATTTCACAACAGTGCACATGTGTCTAATTGAGTGTTAGATATCGCAAACTTGTCCGATAAGTAACCTTGCACGACTGTATACACTTCCTTCTTGTGAAGCTCTTTCCTTACACTTCTCTCTACCACTATTATCATGCGTGCAATTATGGCAAGTACCACATGTAGCTAAGCCCTTACAAAATTTCCTGGCATTGTTCTTGAGCATGACACGCTTATTGACACTGGTATTATTCTACAATTCTTAGAATTCTATAATCTGGTGCGAATTGTATAATTTGATAGTTGTGTTCTGGTAGGGCAAACGTCATCGAACCACAAGCATAAGAGTGTGAATGAAATACTATATGAATGACATAGCTTTAGGCTAGCCTCTATCTGTATATCAAGTTTGTATCATTTTATTTTTATCTAGTTATTTTCTTATTATTTCATTCTTTATTGCAAGTATATTTCTTAATAATCAATTCGTTTCAAATTTTGTTATTTTAATTTCTGAATTGTTCTCCAACAACATCTAGTCCACTATTGCAGCCACTTAAGACAACACCTATACTATCACAATCTTGTTGACAATCACCGCATGGAACTTGTACCAGCATCATTGGAGCCACCACCTCATACGTCCACTTTGTCATGGTATTAATCACTATTTCAAATAACTAAAATTTGAAAAACAGCAATGCTTATTCATAAATTAGTCATTAAAATGTCTGTGACAATCCACAAATTCTATTAAAATTTCTGATAAAAGTCTCAAAAACTCCATTATAATCCAACTAGAATTCAGTTAAAATCCATATGGATCAAGCACAAAATTCATATATTCATAATTTTATAAAAATCCATCAAACTCTGTGTACGATACACCGCCTAAGATTATCGGCAAACTACTAGGCCTGATTTCTGAAGCCAAGAAGATTTTGACCAAACATTAAACAAAAAAAATAAAAAATTCTACCATAATTAAAAGTTTACCACACAAGTTTTCTTTGGGGATGGACCAAGGACCATCTGGGTGCATAGAAAATTAGGTGTGATAAGAATAAGGCATGTCATACTTTTCATTTTTCCATTTCGTCTTTTTCCGCTTGACTGACCTAAATGTAGAAAAAATAGCAGGTCTTGATAAGCAATCGTGACTTTGCCTATTGCTTGACCTAGAATGTACAAGTCTTGCAACACTTACGAGTGCAATTATGCCAAGTACCACATGCAGCTCGGACCTAATGAAATTTCCAGGCATTTCTCTTTGAGCTTTGTGGAGCCTAAAATAATCCCAAAAATTTTAGAGGCGACACGTGAACTTTTTCTTTAGAAAGACAAGATTGCCCTCAATAAATGGGCAGACTCCTCAAATACTTACATGCGCAGCTCACACCCCTGAAGGTCTCAGCAGTTGAATACGACTACCCACAGCTCACTTGCCATTGGCAAGGAAAAGTCAAAGCATTAAATATAAGGATTAATTACCCAAATCCTATCTTTAATATATTCCCAATATGAGATTTACTCCAATCAAGTATGTAATCCCAATTTAAATCAATTAAGGATAATTACTCCATTATCTCAAGATATTATTTCCTATTTAATATCTTGAGAATATTTCTCCATAAACATTGGCCAATAGGATGCCGTCATGTGTTGGGTAAAACCCTATCACTATGGCCGGCCCTATCCCCTATAAATACACTATAGTCTACCAAATTTCATAAGATTTTGCTACCCCTAAAAAGCCATAAACACTCTAGTCTCTCAAAGAAATTGACTTAGGCATCGAAGATTTATTGGCCTAACCTCACCCCCCACCTCGTGGGCCCGTGAGGCTTAGGTCTTTGATCAAAGGTGTTGATTGTTTTGCAGATGCATTTTCGTCAAGAATGAAGACGGCGGAAATTTGCATCGACAAATTGTTGCTTTCATTGAGAGTTGATTCAAATACTCGAATAAGCCTCTTGCATTTGGTTTCTTGAATTTTTTGTTACGTTGGATTTCTCACACGTCATATCAATTAATTTTTCCTAGAAAAGTTTATTGATCAATCCTTGGAGAAAGGATACAATGGTAGGAAGTTAAGAAACCATGATGAACAAAACCTCGTACGTGCAAGGATTTGGACCGAAGAGTGGAGATGAGGACATAACCCTACTATGGCGATCCTCAAGGCTCAACGTGACGGCAGGAGAAGGCCCACCACCGCAGAGCTACACCACCACCGTTGCCACGACCTAGTAGCAATGTTATGGCCACCAGGCCATGACACAAATAGCAGCGGCCCATCCTTCAAAACCTTGGGCAAGAGGCCCAGGTCCATAGAAAAGCAGGCTGAGCCCAAGAAGCCCAGACTACTACAACTCAAGCCGTAAGCTAGGCCGCCTAAGCCGCAGCAGCTGGAGCCCAGCCAGCAGCCCATGCCTAACTTTTTTCGAGGCAGCTCAAGCCCATTTGGTTGCTAACCAAGCCCATGCCTGCGAGGAGTAATCATTGACCTAATGCTCAACGCAGGCCCAAGGTTAGCCGCCACAAGCACGAACCGAGCGTGCCTATATGCACGGCCCAACCAACCAACTAGGTTACTCAGCTCTGTGACCCGCTTCGACGACCCAACCTGTGGCCCAATCCAATTTGAGGTCACCGCTGGTAATCCATATCCTGACCACCGGTCCCATGATTGATTGAGGCTATTTTCACCCCACTTTCTGCAGGAATGCCCGCTCTGGCTCAAGCTTTGTACCTGTAATACACTATACTTCCACCACACATGGAAACACCCATTATCCAGACTCTTCCAATCCAAATGGTGAGCACCACTTGCCC